TTTGTTCTTTTGAAATTCCAAACCATATTCAGTCAATTGAAAAGATTGCATTTTGTAATTGTACAAATTTAAAGAGCATTTTAATTCCGGATTCAGTGACTTCTATTGATAAATTCGCTTTTATGGGGTGCCCATTGACTTCAATTGTTCTTTCTAAAAATTTGCATTCGCTTCCAGATTGCGTGTTTTACGGCAATCATTTGGTTTCCTACACTGTTCCAGACAACATTCAAAGTCTTGGCACGAAAGTATTTGGACAACTATCTGATGATGTTTTTGATACTCCCCAAAACGTTAACATAAGCGCATTGACATCAATTGAATTGTCCGATAATGTAACTTCAATTGGAGATGAAGCTTTCAGTGGATTAGATAAATTGGTACACATCAAATTGTCGAGTAAATTAACAGAACTCCCAGACGCAGCTTTTGCTAATAATTATAGTTTGAAAAGTGTTGTTATTCCAATGAGTGTGACTAAAATTGGATATAAGTGTTTTACTGGGTGTCCACTTGATGGAGAAAAAGTATTTAAAATACCCAAAAATGTTGAGGTGATTGAGATAGGTGCTTTTGGAAATTGCAAAGCCTTAAAAGAAATTATACTTCCACCAAAATTGATGTATGTGGACGAGAAATTGGCTTTTGAGGGTTGCGACAATCTGAAGAAAATTGTTTACCCAAAGAACTATGGAAATAATATCGCGTTTGACGATATCTATAATGACGATTAAGTAATTAAATAATCTTCATTCAAGTTTTTTGAAATTTTAATGAATTACATTTCGACTTTATCTTTATTTAGAGTTTTTTATATATAAAAAAACTTCCCAAAGTTTGTAAGTTATTTTAAAGGTGTGCAAGTTAAATAATAGTTTATTTAATATTTTTTATTAAAAAAATAAAATTATTTATTTTTTGAAATTTTGAAAAAAAAGAATATTTTTAGTTTCATTATTAATTATATTTTTGAAGTTATTACTAAACTATACTTTAACTTGCACACCTTGTGACGTTGCAATTTTTAACTTTCACACTTTGTATACAATAAATTAAGCAACAATTTCGGGAAAGCGACCCAATGGAAATTATCGAAGGACCAGTTCTGGACAACAGTGCACATCGATTTGAGATAATGAACTGCACCTATTAAACAGACTATTTGTTATTGTTTGCTATAAAATGGCACAGAGAAAAACTTAATGTTTATCATACCTTTTCTTGCCGCTTTGAATTACGCCAACACAAGAGACATCGACAATTATCCACGTCTTGAACAAAACAATTTTTACATTAAACAAATCGACAAACCATCACCCAATTTTTATAATTTAATTTGCTTTTTGTAGTTTATTAATTCAAGCACCAAAGAGTTGTGTGTTTTTTGAAATAATTTTGAAATGAATAACATTTTTTAATAAAATGTTTTTGAACTAAAATTTAGTCTTGCACGCCCTTTCCCTGTAAAAAAGACTAATAATTTTAACTTGCACACCTTGGGGAAGTCACTTTATATGATACTTAATAATATGAAATGTAGTTATTTATATAAAAAGTTAAACTAAAGTAAAATAAAAATTCAATAATCAATTATCTTATAATAAAATTCATAATAAAGTTAAATAAATCTATCTGTTTATAACACTTCAATTAAAATTATTAATTAAATATTTATAATAATTTATAATAAATTTTATTAAAAAATTAAATTTTTATTATTATTATAATATAATAAAAACCTATTATTTGGTTTGTATATTTTATTTATTGTTAAAAGTATTGTTAAACAATTGTAATTATTTATTGTATTGTGTTGTAATTAAAAAATATCACATATTGTTGATTTGTGCGGTTTTAATATATTAAATATTGTGTTTTAACCAATTGATTACAAATAATGTTGTTTTGATTAAATAATAAGTATTTACAAATAATATATTGGGTAGATAACAATTAGATTAATTACATTGGAAATAACTATTTTAAAAAATTGAAAAAAATACATCAAATAATTCTAAGATACCTATTTATATTTTTAAAATAGTATTTAATTAAAGTTTCAAAACTATTTATTTTACTTCTTATAATTACTTTGTCTTTAGCTATTTTTTGGTCAACTGGATATTATTTTGTATTCAATCAACCTTCTTTAAAATATATAACAACTATTTCTTATCTTATTAATGTTGTTTTGGTTAGTTTTAAATAATTTGACTCGGTAAACTGGTGTTTATTCTAATAAAACCACACATAGAGTGCAGTTTTTTATATTTAAATGGTGTAAAAGTGTAGTTTTTTTAA